AAAACTTTTGCCTGGATCTTTGTCTGTTTCTTCCATCTATGCAGCTGGCAACTTTTTCATTTGCTTTGACCAATGCTGCATCGCCGGGTGGTCAGCTTGCTAGCGGTCCCAACGTTTGCTTTGTTTTCTCAAAGGATTACCTACCCTGAGGATAGCATTTGTCATGGCTTTTGCTGTTTTAGGATTTCCTTCGTAAGAATAACCACCTCACTCTCCGAATGTTACCGTGGAGCTATAAATTTGTCCCACTAACGAAAATTAATACGGCTTTTTAAAATTTTTTGCGGGATTTTCCGCTTTTCTATTTTCTTTGAAAGTGTGTTTCTGGCACCAACTGTCACATCTATATTAGTATTTCCGGTGCATTTATAAAAAGAATTCTGATTTCGTAAAGCCCCCCCTCTCATGAGTTTTATCCTCCTTGTATGGGAGGGACTGATGTAAGTGTGCTTGGCAAATCGAAGGTCTGTATGCTTCGAGGTTCCACATTGTCACAGCGTCTTAGCAGATTTTGAAAGTCGTTCCTGTACTACGGATTGAGGCATCTTCCACTTTTTGAAGTTTTTTGGTGGGTTTATTTTGTTTCTGTCGGACTTCAAAGATCTTTTCTCTATGAATGACAGTAAGATTCGATAGGGAGCAAATTTATTATTCCACTTTCAGAAAACTTTTTTAGTTCGTGCTTGTTGATTGGAAGAAAGATGACCAGGGGATGGCGCAACAGCATCTTCACTTGGCTTTCAAGCAGAGTAACGCGAGTATCTACGTTTACGATCATGGCCCATCCTCCGGCAAACATTTTGCTGTCGGCGATCGTATTGTCGATATCGACGGAAAATTATTCAGTAAAGCGGTGGATGTGCGCGATCAAATCCTGTGGTCTCGCCACAACAAAGTTAGCAGCTGCACATGATGTTTTCGAGGCTGTTTTCAGGCATGCAATAGTTCAAAAGACCAAGGTATAAAACCAAAATCCGTTGTATTTCACTTTCCTTGATAAGTGAAGAGCAATAGTTCAACCCCTCCTCCCCTTCCAGAAGCCCA